CACAGACAGCCTCTTCCCAATATGCGTTTTTGCAATTTACATAAATGCAAAAACGCATAATAAATAAAAAAGCAGTTACGTAATGAATTACTTGTATCTTATTCGGCTCGCCCGTACTCTCCATCCTGGATGCGGTATTTACTGTGTCGCCAAAAAGGCAGTAACGTGGCGCTGCTAGTCCGACGACGCCGGCTGCCACAGCTCCACTGTGGAATCCAATTCGAACCATCAGCTGCTCATTTGGTCGATGAGCCAATTTGAACTTGCACACGAACTAAATTTTTAGACTAAGTCATCACTGAGTGTTTTAAACCAGTTTTGGAATCATTTTCCTGATGCAGTAATTTTATAATCAAAATCGACCGTTCTCATTCTGAGTGCCACGTTTGCAATATTTTCCACATGAGCGTTACCGTTCTCCTTCGGTACTCCAGAAACGATCATATACGCATCACCGATTGTTTCCACCTCAAAACCAATTCACATAGAAACGCGTTGCGAAAGACACCAAAAAACAAAGAATCTGTTGAAAAAAGACAACAGCCTTTTGCCTAATGATATAGCCTAAATTATCCCAGAGAAGAACAGTTTTTGATTGACTACATAGAGAGAGTGCATTGCTGATGCACATCGACTCTTTTTCATTCGTTGCTTCATGCTTCGATACGAGAAATTTATAAAAAATACTTCAGAAATGAAGTTTAAAAAGTAAAATATTGCAGCGCTATAATATAAATTTCGGCGAAGGGAAGAGACAAAGACGTGAAATAAACTTGGTGAATCTGTCTATTTTGAACGAAGCTGCATGTCAGAGCCGACCATTTTTCTAGCTAAATCTGAAACTAAACTTAACTAAGTTAAGCAAACTTAAAGTCATGTAAATATTGTATGTTAAATCCGTTTCTTCAGCAACAAACCTATTTATCAAAATTCTCCTTTGTTCCACTTTTTCTTTTTTCCCATCCATACCGTAACCCACCCCTATACCCTCCATGGGATTTTCATAAATACAAAAGCCAGAACTGAATGTACTTTTGCAAAATGATTTATGTGTTTTTGTATCCTGCGACTAAGCTGGATACAAAGGGGGTAAACATAGCGGGACACCTCCTCTTACGCGCAGGACCAATCTCCCCTATATAACCCCTGCTTTTCTTCATTCTTGGTCTTTTCGTAGCGTTCGTCTAATATTCGACTGGGACTTCGATCCGGAACGCTCTCCAGTACACCCGACTCAACATCCAGAACTTAAAACAAATTCGTCTGTCTCCTCGTACGGCCCCTGTTCATCTCCCATCAATTCTACCGGTTCTCGATCATCTTTTTAATTGTGATGTTGCTTAACTTACTTATTTTTCTACCCAAGTTTAAATAAATTCATTATTATAAAAACCACACTTCGCGCTTCATTGTAACTGGTCACAATACCTCACAACAGCACATCAAAAACATTTACTGTCAGCAAAATAGTTACTATTCTCAAAAATAAGCGAACTGCCCCAAGCTTGGGCCCATTTTGCTGAGTGATTTTGAGTAGAAAAATTGAACAGCAAGTGAACCTTATAAGCATCGTGTTTGGCAATGATATCATCGAAGCCCGAAAAAAGTTCGTTAAGGAACTGCACAATTTGGAATGGCGTAGAAATGGACGATAAATGTGTGAAGCCGCGGATATCCGAAAATAGCACTGTGGCACAGGGATATAGCTGTGGTGGTACCGACTTGCCAACTTTGAGGTCATCCGCTACCGATCTTTAAAACCGTGCATTAAGGAACTCATATTACACATTAAAATGCTTAAGCCCACGATCTACTGGCATGAATTGGGGACAGGATGTGAACACTGCAAAGAAGGAGATCCATTTCAAACGGGAAGGCTTGACCTTGGTAACATATTATAGAGCAATCGATCAGCTTGCTGTTGCGCCTCTTCCAACATCGCTGTTCGATCTTTGACCATTGCTTCCAAATTCATCGTATACTGTAACATTGAGTTGTATCAAATTCTCTTATTTGGCTTTCAGCTTACTATTCTAATAATGAGTCACTTCCTGGGCCACTTCTGTTCCCAGCTGAGAACTCATGAACTTATAAAATGGCGTTTTCAAAGTGAAAGAAAAAACTTGCATCTTCCATCATTTTCATCATTTGATCCACAAGTGAGCCACCACCTCTGCAATCACTTTTATTAATTAGGCGAACAGAAAGCTTTTAAATCTTTTGCAATAAAATCAGGTGGTTGTTCAAGACAGCAGATCCGAATTGCTGGCCTCTCAAACGGAACAGAACATTTTCTTTTCTTTTTAGTTTCAATAATTAAGCCTAAAATGCTTTTCAGTAATTCCTGCGATAGAAAAGAATGAAAGGGCCGGGTGTAATTTTGGCTTAAAGATGTAATTTGAAAGCGATACTTTGATTTCAGATGAGAATTGACGATTGTTTTCATCTTTTTGATATTCGGGCGCATTTCCGGCATTTCCAGCCAACAAGTCTGCAAATGTTTTTCCAGTGGAAGCATCATCAGCAGATGTTGTTGCGACAAATTCAAATTTGGTGTATTTTTAAGAAGGTACAAAAAAACCATCCTCAACTAATGCTAGTGCAAGTAATCAGAAGAGATTTGCAAGATTTATAGCATTCACGTGACTATGGCTGTTTGACTGGTCTTGGCCTATTCAGTTAAAATTAGGACCAGACAAAACTTTTACCTCAGACATCATTTCATTTTAGTCAAGTGAAATATCAAGATGGAATAACTCCACTTTTTCAGAAAGGCAATACTGAAGTGTTTAAAATTTTAGCGTATTTTTTTTTAAAAAAAAGTTTGACGAGAAAGTTTAACGTTTAACGAATACTCGAATTTTTGGAAGACAATTTACTCGCTTCCAAGCAAAGATTTTAGGTTCTTTTGTCCTAAGCTAAAGCTTTCCAATCTGCTCTAGAAAAGCCGCTTATTTTCAGCATTTTCTGATCAGTTTGGTAATTTAGTAAAATGCCGAGCCTATACACGTTTTGTGTTTATCACAATCTACTGAGCAACTTGAATTAGTTTTACATATGAGCCAATAAATTTGTGCGGATTTCTTACCTCAATAGCATTTAACAGAGGGAGGCTATAGGAAGATTCATGCAGATTCGGAGGAAACGTCGGTCGGATAGTCTCTTCATTCCCGCCATGCGCTATCTTCTCCATCAGCCCTACAGAATAACATTTGATCCAGCTTGAACAGTTCATTCTAAATTTCATATCAATTTACTATCTAAACTAATGGTATTTTTCACAGGCACAGAAAAATAAACTTCTGTGGCAACATTTTAACAAAAAACACATTTTTTTACTCGTTAGCTCCTTGATTTACCTGTCATACGGTACAGCTTAGCGGTGACAGCGTAGACATGAAGTCTCGTATACAAGCAGTAAGTTTACTCAACAAGCATTCAAGAAAAATTTTGTAAGAAGTAAAAAAAGTCGGAACACGAAGCAACATGATAACTGTATTTAGCTTTCTAGCTTCACACAAGTTCATATGCTTCTCTACAGATTCTGATATTTCTCGAATTTTTTTGGCTTTTAAGCGTGAATTTTTTTCTGGTTTGAATATAAAGACGTCAAAATGGGTGCGGATTGAAGGTTGGTATATCAAAAAATTTATTTTCGAAACTGCTTACATCACACGCATTCAGTGTTCTAATCTAGTGTTTAATTCGGCAACTACTAAAACTCGGCTCGGCTCGGCTCGGCCGGTGCGTTTTGCGCCCCAGTGTGGCGTCTGCCATCTCTGGCAACACTATTCCGTACCGCCAGAGACAAGAAGCAGTTGGCGAAGTGCCAGGAAAATCGGGCAACGTTGCCCCTGGAGGAAATGGGGGGTGGTGAATTTTTGGTGGCTTT